ACAACAAGTTTGGCCGAGCTTTCAACCAATAGTAGTTGGTATTACTTCTATTTTTATTTTTATTTTTATTTATAAATTTTATTAACCTCTAGAATTCTATATTTCTAATAAAATTAAATAATTACTATTTTTTAAATATATTTATTATTTAATAAAAATTAATTTTAAATATAGAAAACATTGTATAGCAATTATTATTTTTTGTCTTAAAACTAAATATTTACTATCAAATATTGTTATATACTCACGGAATAAAAATTGCAACAAAAATTAGTAATAAAACTATTTTTTTTAATATTTGGGACTAAATTTCCAACAAAACCAATCTTATGGGACTATATTTGCAATTGTTTCAATATTTGTGACTAATGACAAACGGTGACTTAACGTTCAGTTAGATTTGGGACCAATTGCGCAACAAAAATTAGTTAAGGACTGAAATTGCGCCTCTTGGGACTAAAATTGCGAACGTCCCAATCTAACGGGACCAAATTTGCAATTAACTCTACAAGAAATCTACAGCATTTGCTAATTTAAATTTTAGCTAGAGCAACAGCTGACATATTAACTTATTAATTTATTATTAAGCCACGTTCACATAAATAAATACACTTCCAATAGCCTCCTATATCTTGTATTAATCACTATAAATATTTAAATAATTGATAGTATCTGAGAGTATATTAAGATAAAAAATAAATCAAAAAGTGCAGAACTTGACCCGTAAATACAATCAACCTACAAAAAATAATTCTAAATACATATAAAAATATATGTCAATATCACGTCGCTTACCACTCAAATACTTTATATTTTTTATTAATAATATTATATATGCCTCATTCCCAGCATAACCATACCATAATCAGGCTCTCTCTAATCAAATTCCATTAAGATAATCACTTAACGATAATCAAAGGCTCTCACATTGACACTTCTTCAAAAAGACCACCCTCAGTCTGACAGCATGTTTGTTAATGTTGAGATAAAAGAAAACAGCACATAAATCCTTCTCTCTTAAAAATTGTTTAGTTCTGAACTCAAAAATCCCTTCTTTATTAACTTCCTCTAATCCTCTTTTGCTTTTGTTGCCTTGAAGAGAGCTCCCTTCAATTTCACTACTTCTACCGAGCCCCTTTTTAAGCTGCTCTCTCTCTCTCTCTCTCTCTCTCTCTCTCTCTCTCACTTTTTATTTAATATTTAATACCCGAAGGAGAAAGTACAATGGTAGGTAGCAATTAGCATATTAGAAAACAGAGGGAATATGTTGAGCTTACACTCCACAATTTCTTGAAAAAAAAACTGCAACTTTCGCACTGTTTGCTTGGTGAAAACGAGCAATGAGAAAAAATTGCATAGCTCTTGTTGTAATTCTTGTGATATTTCTTGCTGGTTGCTCTTCCGCTTCAGCATCGCCCGTCGCCAGTAAG